GGTAGGACTGTCAATCTGCCAACGTACAAGTCAATATTTATTCCCATCGATCTCCCTCGCTTTTCCATCGTATATCATTACTTGATATTTTTTTACTTTCTCTTTTAATCCGAAGCCTACTTTTCGATTCCGCATTCCGATCCGATCGATTCTCAATAATCTGGTTGTAATATAAACACACTGAGCCCGTGAAAGGTACAAGTTAAACTCACGAGATCGGAGCTGTATGTGTGTGGTAATTGGGGAAGACTACTGATGATAACTATGCATTTGTATACCATCGCTTCGTGTTAAATACAACGAGAACAATCCTTATGGGCCGAGAACTATCTATTTATCTGATAGTATCAACCATGGAGATGTCGCACCTTGGCGTCGAGAGGAGAGACGAGATGAACGGACGCTGGACGAGGGAGAGAGATGCGAGAGAGATCGGAGAGAGGCGTAGAGTGATGGGCGAGAGAGAAGAGAGAGAGAGGAGACGAGCGAGAGAGCCCTCGGAAGCAGACGAGCAGACCGCAGAGAGAGAGAGGGAGGGAGAGGGAGGGCTGAGGAGGGATGGGCACGGCGAGGTGAGGCGAAGGAGCAGAGGAGGGAGGGAAGGGGGAAGCAGGGGCAGAAGGCAGAAGCGGGAGGGAGGGATGTCTTTTCACGCGCGTAGCAAAATTTATTATAGAGCATCAACGTTGAGACAGGCAGATTCAGGCCAGGATTATACGCACCAGAGACAATTAGAACACCACAGTTATTGATGTCTCTGTATGCATGCGCCCTGGACTACCGTCCGATAATGGCGGCGCGGCGCTCAGTCAAAATGCTACCGATGCTCCGCTGGCCTAATTTGAGCAAAAAAAAAAAAAAAAAAAATACGGTATCCGTATCTTTCGATTTTATTTCGATATCGATACGGACGCAATCCATCGCCGATTTATCGATGACGGTGTGGCATCGATGACAGCCTAGCGCGCAGGTATATATCACCGCGCGCACGCCGCATCCTACCGCTCTGCGCGGACCGGCCCACGGGTGCTCTGCGCCTTCAGGCCAGCGCCGCCGGTGCATACGCTTCATGACTTGCTGCGGCGCGGTGTATCTATCCGCGCCTCCATCGGCCGCTTTACAATTGCCATACATAACTCGGAAGAATGCGTGGATAAGTAGAGGACTCCTTTCAGATATGATCACTGTGTGGATATACAACAACATATACAATAATAATACAGTATTACAATTATACCCGAATCCAATTTCAGTTTCTTGGCGTGTTCTTTTGTGCAATTTTTATTGTTAGAGCGGAACTCCCTGTTCCGCGGTGGCGGATTTCGTCCCGAGTCCACCCGAATCCCCCCCTGGTTACGCGGCCTGGTGCTGTGTTGTGTGTGTGCTGCGTGCGTGCAGTGCGTGGCTCTGTGCGCTGCGTTCGTGCCGCTGCGTGCCGTGCGCTGCGCGAGCGTGTGTGACTCGCAGGTGTGTCGTGCTCCGCTATACGTTTCCGCACCGCCCTCAACGGATCCTCCCAAAACTTTGTACGAACATTCTACAGATCCATGACACCCGTTTGCATGGGCTATTTATTGGTTTTTCAGTTTTCATTTTTGTTACATTCCACGTTCAAAAACATTAAAAATAGTTGGGAATTTTTTGCATGAGGCCAACGTCTCACAACAAACACCGAAAATACGACGCCCACCGATCGGATCTTATATGTGCTAATATTTTTTATTTTTGGTTTGTTTATTTATTTAGTTTGTTGTTGAACGCCGTCTCGCACCGCTCAACGGAATCCTCTTCCAAACTGGTGCGTGCGGGTGTATAGTGTGGATACTGTCGCCGAGACGATAGACGCTCATTTTGAACCTAGTAAAATAATACTATATACCCCTGTACTAACGTTAGAGTTTTGAAATTTGATTTATTATTCTCCCTTTGCGTCTATACCCTTCTTTTATTTCTGCTCTGAATACTCTGCCTTTACTGAGAGAGCTGTCCCACGTGCAGCCCGGCAGGGCGAAGGCACAGGTCCCCCCCCCTCACTTTTGCACGAGCCCCCGCACGCGACGTGATTCATTGCTTGCTGATGACGCATCTCATTGTGGTTTCCCTCTCTCTCTTCCTGCTGCAGAGCTTGAGATCGCTCCTCACCTGAACGCGGCGCTGGTGCCTGCGCACGCGCGACAGGAATCGTACACGAGCGAGGCCGCTAACGGCCCGCGGCTGCCCGACGGAGAACACCTGCAGGGCAGCGAGCCTGGGTCGTCAAGCACTGCCTCCACCGCCACCGCCGGGGCGTGCGGAGCACCCGAGTAACACACGGTCGGTATTAGTAGTAGCAGTAGTAGTAGCAGCAGCAATAGTAGCAGCAGTAGTAATAGTAGCGGTAGCAGTAGCAGCCGTAGTGGTAATACTAATAGCAGCAGTAGTAGCAGCAGTAGCAGCACCAGTAGCAGCAGCAGGAGTAGTAGTAGCAGTAGTAGTAGCAGCAGCAGTAACAGCAGCAGCAGCAGCAGTAACAGCAGCAGCAGCAGCATCAGTAGTAGCTAGCAAGTTTCTCGTAATTTTTTTATTGAATTCCTACATAACGAGTAAACGCGCTGGTTTTGTGTTAGTAATGCATGAGAACACTGTCCTGATATTGTTCTGTCAACTCTGCCAGATATTACACGCTCGTCGCCGTGGTAATCACAGCTTTGTTCTGTCTCTCCACAGATAGCGAACTGCGACTAGACGCATCTCACAGTGGCGCTAGGTGGCGCCGGTGATCGCCGAGCCGGCTCACTTCGACGACCCTGCAATAAGCATTGTTATTGTCGGCGTGTAAATAATGCTGTAGTAGCCGGGCACATTTTAAAACTGATACGCTCTGCGTGCGCATGTCCAGAGGGCGCCACTGCCATCCCGCGGCGGCGTGGCTGCCGCGGTGGGGGGGGGGACCTGGCGTGCCCCTGCGAGAACACACGCAGACCGTCACGTTGCGCGACAAAGCGAAGTGTTCGCACAGTTCATAACAGTCGCACAGTAGAATCGTGTGTCAGTAGGTGCAGGTGGTGTTGAGGGGAGGGTGGGTGTAGGGGTGTAGAGTAAACACGGTTGCCGTCCGATGGCCGGGGCTTCGATATTTAGCAGCGCGCAGGCACCAGAAGCGCAGCACGCGTGAGTGAGAGAGAGCGAGAGAGAACGTGCGAGGACTGGGAGGAGTCGTTGGCATCGGCGTTTGCGGCGGCGGCGTGGCAGTAGCCGCTCAACTGCCGGACAGCGACTTCAGCAATTGTACGTGGCGATGGATAGGTGTCCCCACCGGGGGAGGTGCAGCCCCGCTCGTCAGCGCCAAGCTCGTCGTTGCTGATTCGCTGGCGCCGCGTTATCAGCGTATGTGGAGAGCGGTGCTGCGTGCGTTCTTCTCTGCAGCCGAGCCGATCCGGACAAGCATCGCTGATGACGACTCTGCCGCCGCCGTCGTCACCTCCTCCCGCTCGCGGACGCGCATCGTCATGGCAACGTGGCCCGCCGCAGGGATAACTTGCTTTTCGCGTGTGTGCTTTTAGAGGGTTGGTGCGGCGCGTGGTGGCGCGCGGGCGGGGGACGATGCACCGCTGCAAGCGAGGAGAGATATCTATGTAGATGTAGTAGCAGTTGTAAAATGTATAAAGTTGTGTACTCAGTAGACTACTAGAGGGAGACAGCCGGGTCGTCTGTCAATGATTTGACGTGTGAGGTGTGTGTGTATGAACGAAAGGCAGGGTTCCTCGTGCTGTGTGTGTGTTTTACGTGGTCACAGCGCGAGGGCGCACCAGTAGGCCTGATGATAAGCCAAATCTATCGTATTGTCAAGCTCTCATATACATACGTATATGCTTATGTGTGTATATATATATATATATATATATATATATATATATACATATATACATACATATATGTATGTGTATATACGGTGATCGTATTGTAGCAGTGATTGATCTAAATTTTCTGCCTCTGATTAAATTCGTTTATGTGTTAGAAACTTCTGGTACATACAATTCAGCCGTTTGTGTCTGCAGGTATATATATATATATATATATATATATATATATATATATATATATATATATTGCAGATGATCACTTATTTATTGATGAGTGAGTACTTCTACATGTGCGTGCGTGCATATGTGCATGGGCGTGCGTGCGTGCATGCACATGTGCGCACGCGTGCGTTTGTGCACGCATGCGCGCAGATGTGCAAGCCTACGTGCACATGTGCGTGCGTGCATGCGTATATGCGAGTGTGCGTGCATGTGTGCGAGCGTGCATGCATATGTGCCAGCGTGCATGCACATGTGCGCGCATACATGCATATATGAGAGCGTGCATGCATTCATGTGTATTTGTGTGTACATCTGCGTTGACCATTATTTAGTTGCGTTGCTGCCATGCCTGATAGACTGGTGGCGTGGTTACTCCAATGACAGGGATTGATGTATGGTGTGACACAGAGGGAGATTTTAGGGGGGCGCGATCGGGGGGAGTGTTAAGAGATTAATAGGTGAATAACGTGCATCCGCTATGTGAGGAAGGCGTAATTCAGGTACATAGCCTGTAGATGGCGCCATCATCTTAGTGTAGTGCAGAAACATGCAGTCAGCATACACAGCAGCGCCACCTGTTGGATTGTTTTTGCGTCGCGCCTCGTGCATTTGCAGCAAGCCTCGGACTCATGCTGCTGCGCCACCCAGTAATGTGATCATGAGCTACCCTGCAGCGGTGGAGGCTGACAGAGCGTGCGTGAAGCTTGTGCTCATGAGGCGACACAGCCTAGGGTAACTCTTCACTTCCACAGATACTCAAGGTCGCGCTGTGATTGCTGAGTCGCCACCAGCAAATTGGCAGGGGGCGCCACCATTGTGGCATCGATCGCACATTTGTCCCGCACCATCGTCGCGCGGCAGTGTGATCATGAACGGCAGTGTGAATGTGTTCGCGTGCGTGCGTGCGTGCGTGTGTGCGCGCGTTCGTGTTTGTAGCTATGCCGACAGCACGCGTGTAGTTACAAGTGTGAACTATACATAGTCGAGCCTCCGCTCACATGATGCTGTGAGCGACGCTAGGTGGCGCCGCTGCTCACAGGAGGCAGTGAGCGATGCTAGGTGGCGCCGTTCTGTGAGCGGCGCTAGGTGGCACTACCGCTCACCGGATGTCGTGATTGGCGATAGGTGGCAGGGCCACTCACAAGACGCCATGAGCGATGCTAGGTGGCGCCGCTGCTCACAGGACACTGAGCGATGCTAGGTGGCGCCGCTGCTCACAGGACACTGAGCGACGCTAGATGGCGCCGCTGCTCACATGACACCATGAGCGACGCTAGGTGGCGCCGCTGCTCACATGACACCATGAGCGACGCTAGGTGGCGCCGCTGCTCATAGGATGACATGAGCGACGCTAGGTGTGGCCGCTGCTTACAGGACACAGTGAGCGATGCTAGGTGGCGCCGCCGCTCACAGAACATTGAGCGATGCTAGGTGCCGTCGCTGCTCACGGGATACCATGAACGACGCTAGGTGACGCCGCTGCTCACAGGACAGTGAGCGACGCTAGGTGGCGCCGCTGCTCACAGGACACAATGAGCGATGCTAGGTGGCGCCGCTGCTCACATGACACCGTGAATGATGCTAGGTGGCGCCACCACTCACAGGATGCACTGAGCGACTCTAGGTGGAGCCACGTTATTGAACCGCCTTCGATCGTTCGCTCGCTGTAGATTGCGGGCTCAGCGTGCCAGTAGGGGTATGCCGCTAGCTCATTGCGCGTTTTCTTGTTTTAGGTTGTTGGCACGGGGTCGACAGTGTCGCTCTCACGCTCTAGCTAGATGCTGCTCGTGTCCTCACAATTTCACGTATACAATTTACAGGCGTGTGCGCGTGCGTGCGTGCGTGAGAGAGAAGCGGGTCAAGCTCGCCCGCTACAGGGGGGGGGGCAACGTTTACGTGTGTACGCGCGCGCGTGGGCTCTAGCGTTGTGGTTTATGCGCACGTTTTAGATATGTCGAGTCGAGTTCTCTGCAAACTAGTTGTATTGGTGTGCGTGCGTGCGTGCGTGCGTGCGTGCGTGCGTGAAGGGTGTGTGTTTGTCTAGCGTGTCATTCTCATCTCGCCCCCCCCCCACACACCCGCACCGCGCCGCCTCAACTTACGGTCGTCTGATCGCTGATTAATGACGTCACACTGCAAACAATCAAAACACAAAACCGCCCTCTGTCGGCGAACAATGAGTTTGTGTTTACTGACAGGACGTGGCAAGTGCGCATGTGCGAGTTTGGGGTCATGTGAGTCACGGGGCATGCGTATTTTGAACCGTGGGGGGAGGGTCGCAACGCTTGCGTATTTTGAATCGTGGGGGAGGGAGGGAGGGTCGCAGCACTTGCGTATTTTGAACCGTGGGGGGAGGGTTGCAGCGCTTGCGTATTTTGAACCGTTGGGGTAGGGGATTGCAACAACAGATCGAGTGTGTTTAACGTCTGTACATAATATGCTTGTTGAACAAGCAGGTTTTGTTATGAATGTAATATAACACGACGTGTCAACGCGAGGGCGGTGCGACCAGTATTTTTAATGTTATGCGATGCGGATATGCATACATACATAGAAACGTAGTACGACGCGTACAGGTTTTTAACTTGGTCGATTTTATGTCACACACACACACACACACACACACACACACACACACACACACCAGTAAATGATGTTGTGATTATAATATGTACAGTCATTACAAGAAAGTAGTCGTTGTTCGTCGTTTATTTCTCACGTTGTCTCGTTAGTTGTCTCTTGCTGGCGCGCGCTCTCCGTCTTTCCGCACATCACCTTACCGCCCCTCCCCTCGATTTCTCTCTCTCTATCTCTCTCTCGCTCTAGCTATATATATATATATATATATATATATATATACTAGCCTGATAATCCGGGTTGCCCGGAAATAAAGGCCGCCAGTTGGTGACAAAAAAATACACTCAAAAAATTCTATATATATATATATACAATAACATATTCTATCTATCTAATCTACTATTTTACTATCTATCTTCGCCATCTCTACGCCTGTACCAATATGGCAAGCTGAATCCCTGTTCGACAATCGTGGGCAGGGCCCGATTTGTTTTTCTTCTTGCGCCTTCAGATACCCGAGGTCATCATCATATGGACATCAGCATCAAAAGTTACCGCCTACGATACGTCCTTGACATTTCCTAGATCTCCATAATTGAGTTGCATGTGAACTCTAGACAAATCACGACATAGCATTTCACAATATGTGTAGATAATATAGTATATATATCATATATTAATAATAGTCGGGAATACTCCGCTTGCCCGGAAATGCATGGCGTACTCCAGCTTGGTGACCGCTTGGTTGAAAGGAAAATACCCTAAAAAATCTAACTATCTATATATCCATCTATGCATCCATCCCCCCATCCCATCGCACCGTATCCCATCTCATATCCCATCCCATCTCATGCCATTCCAAACAGTAAAAAATAATAAGAAATCAAAAGATAAAAGACATTAAATATAAAAAATAAAAAGCAAAAAAATTAAAAATAATACATACTAAAGAGGTAGGTAAAGGAAAAAAAGGGGAAAATAAGTTCCCCAGCTGGAACTCGATCCCGGTGTAGGAGACGGATGTTCTAGCGATTAGGCCACTGCGCCGGTGGGTGATGTTAATCTGTACGCACCGCCATCTATTGATGAATAGAATTTTTATGAATTTTTAGAATTTTTTAGAATTTTTGTTTTAGCCAGAACCACCTCCCAGACGTGCTGATTCTGAAAATATCTTTAGTGTTTCTCTAGGCTGCGGAGTTCTCTAGTTATGCGAGTACGAACTAATTTGGCTGAACAACTTTATTTATATAGAAATATCAGGCGCGTAGCTAGGATTTTATTTTAGGGGGGCGGCAATGAGCACGTGAAGTGTGCGAATCAAGGGCGTAAATCCGTACCGAGGAGTGGGGGGGGGGATGATCGGCGATAGCCATCACATACTAGCACGAGCACAATCCCACAATAATTTACGCACACGCGCGCGATCGCGCACGCACGAACATACACACACACACACACACACGCGCGCAAACACACGTACATACATTTATACATGCATACATACATGCACGCACATGCCAAATTTGACAACCGTACGTTTGGCACGTGCGCGCATGCCAGTGCTAGGGGTGTCTGGGGGCATGCCCCACCAGAAAATTTTGAAATATTTAAGCCATTTTCCTGCAATTTGAGGCATACTGTAGGCCATATTCTTATGTCTGATGACTCTATCTCAACCCTAGACTCAACCCTACAAGTTAGGATTCAAAACACTTTTCATTACTTTTCAGAGAGCTTTTCAGAGAGAATGCTAAACGCCGAACCCTGCTTCTATGTCTAACTAAATTTATCTACGATTACTAATTCAATGAACATGTGTAAAACACACGTTACAGCGTACACAGTTAGGTTACTATAGTAATAACACATGTATTAAAACACAGGTAAGAATTGCAATTTCTCACAATTTCACGTGTTTTTGTATGTTTGCAACCATACTTTTTGGCTATTTGTGAG